TGACCTCTGCTGGTGACTGTTGACAATTACAACATGGGTAGTCTCAATAGTCTGCATATGTGAGATACTTTCACTACCCTCTAAAAACAATAGAGAACTGTAATTAACACAAAGTGAAAAAATAATTGAATTATAGATGTGTAAACTAGCCCGTCAGAGTCAAGATTGTGACGGACTGTGATTTCAGTATAACCAAACAGTTACAGGCAAGAAAAGCCAAATATTTCCACACTTGACTGATAAATAATTGACTCACTGTTAATGATAGGCAAGCACATCAGGTACTCAATATATATATAAACTCCCTTTGTGTGGTGGAGCAGTAAAAATCTCACCCAGGTTTCCATGATAATTTGATATTGTGACCTATATCTATTTTTCGCCTGTTTGTGTATTAGCTGTATAGTGTAAACTACCCCAGCCTGCATGACAACAACATCCTGCGGAGGGTCCTGGTTAGTGAGGTGTTGTATTGGGCAGAAAAGCTGAAGAGTAGATGGATGGAGGAGAGGACTGGTGAGAGTCAGCGCCAGGCTGAAGATGGGGAGGAATGTTTTGGAGCATCAGAGAGACACATGGAGATGGGGGAGAAACAGACAGGTGAACATCTTACAGTTGTTCTTCATTCTTAAAAGAAGTTGTGTAAACATTTGGTAACATGAAAACCAATGTTGAAAGCAACAGAGCCAAAAAAAGCGACAGTCAAAAATCAGAACATAAGGGGAGACATTTGGTCAGATACTGAATTGATGACACTTATCTTGGGTGTCCATCTTTAATGACTGGACAGACGGTCTGTGCTGCTGAATTGAAGATGTGTGTGAAGCATCTACGTTGCAGCAACATCCATATTTAAAGCTTTGTCGACTGTCATAGCTACATATGAGTCTGGACAGACATGGATGTAAACTGTAACTGATTGGTTTGCAGTAATTCTAGTTTAGTTGCTTTTGTGTGTTTTCTCAGTATCAGCAGTTTCTCCAGAATATCAGTGTTTTGTATGACTGTTTATAAAATGTTCTTGGTCCCTTAAACTTTATGTTAAATGCTTACAGCATGTTTCTCTGCTTCTTTTTGTTAAAATGTATGGTACTTGACAGCAGCATGTGGATCTGAGGTGAAAACGCCAGTGGAGCAGTGGGACCGAGGTGTGCCAGGGCAACAGGAAGGAGAGGATCAACAGGTGTTTTGGAGAAATGGCCTAGGACGACAGGAGTCTTGCAGATCGCGCAGGTGTGTTTCCTTTAGGAAGATGTGGAGGAACAATGTGGCCACGGCGAGTTAGAAGGCAGTTTGTGGCAAACAGATCACTAACACAGGCCTTGTTTCTATGAAGATGTTCCTGTCCTGCAGTTGTCTCATTACATTTCATGCTTCACCATAACAACTCAGTTTACTGTTATCTGGAACTGTTATCTTCCAAACTCCTATATCCTTAAATTTCAATATTTGTGCACGTCTATTTTCATGTAGCTGCTAGTCAACAGCAGTTCTCACAAATGTCATCATTGATCTTTTGTTTGAATTTTTTTTTTTTTTTTTTTTTTTTTAAATGGCACCAATGCTATCATCAGGATTTCATATCATATTGTCATCTTTTGTATGCTTGCAGGTGTGTTTCTGTACCTCTGGCTGTGCTGTGGTCCTGCTGCCCCAAAGTCAATGCCCTGAGTGGAAGTCTTAGTAACCTCCGCCATTTCCTTATGGACGACCCCAAAGTTAGGCTGAGCCAGGACGGCTCTGCTGTGCTCCTAAATGTCCAGGAACAAGGTACTGTTATATTTGATCACTTTTATGTCTGTTTTATTGTATCTGTAAAAAGTAAAGATTTCTCATGAGAAGGGAAAAATTTATTATAATAAGAGGTGAAAGTTAAAGTCGAGATGAAAGGCAGAATTTCTTTATAACCCTTTCAGATCACATTCCAGGTCATTTTTTGCTCCTTTTCAACGATATATTTAGAGAAAATCTTGTAGCAAAATCCCATCATTATTTCTTTCTGTAAAACAAAGTATGATGTGTGCTTAAATAAGTTTGTACCAACATATTTCAAACAAAAATACAACATCCAACCATCAATCAATCTCCAACTTTTAACTGCACTGACCTAGTTAGATAGGTAGCAATGGTACGTCAGTGTGTCCTCAGGTGTTTGCCACCTTGCACTTTTTTTCTGTTACATTCAGACACCGTGGCTACGGGACCACTGGCTAGAATTTATTCACTTTGAGGAAAGTGGTATTTGTGACAGCTCCAGATATGCACAAGGCATTTTACAGTGGACTGCTTCAGCAACTACATGAATCATACAATGGGCTTCGTCTGTCTCCCTGACAGATACTGCTATTCCGTCAGTGTACAGTGTCGTGGCCTGTTTGTTTGTTATGACACGCCCATTATTCAACAATCAAATCAAATTCCTCCCAACGTAATGTCCTGCCTGCCTATCCTGTTTCCTGTTTCAAATACATCATGATTCTGAAGCTACAGTAGATACTTTGGACAGGGTTCCCATTGATCCTTAAAAGTCTTAAAAGTCCTTCATCTAAAAATAAGGCCTTAATTGGTATTAAAATGTCTTAAATCAGCCTTTCAAAAGACTTAGTAATACTAAGACACGAGAAGTAGGAGATTACAAATTGCGTTTCCCTTAAGATGCATTGTAGAATTTCACAAAAAATTATGAGGAAAAAAAATTGCAAAATGCCTCTTGGATCAGGCAGAAAAGGAAAGCAGAGCCAACAACAATCATATTTTGTTTCCGGCTAGGATACTCAGAGCAGAGGATCCACTGTCTTCTTTCTAGCTGTCATCTTACTCTGGGCAACATGGTGAAGTGCAGATTAAGTGAGAAAAAAGGCTATTTAATCAAGATTTTGTGGTACTAAGTGATACATACAAGGCTTAATGTATTTCATGCAGAAAGTTTTTCAAACATGGCACAATTAGATTCAAAGCAGTTGCATCCCACAAAAATCACAGAGAAAACCCACCATCAGAGGCCAGGTAATTCCACCTCTGTTCTACCCTCATCTCCTCCAGGTCTGCAAATGCTACGGTTTTTTTTAAACCCTTGAAGCAGATATTCCAAATTTTACTGAACCAAAATAGCAATTAACATTTGGGCAAAATTGTCCCTGACCCTAAGTAATTGATGTTGGCTGTTTTCCTTATTTAAGTTATTGAAAATTGGTCTTGAATTTCATTTCAAGCGGAATAAAAAGTTTTTAAAAGCCTCGGCTCTAGCTTGCTTTAAACTCGAGAAACCCTGCTAAAAAAGCTGTTCATCTTAAAAAATACTTTTCTTGTTGTGTATACGTTTCCTCTCCAGTGGTGATGTTCCGCTTGAAGTAGGATCGACTATCCAGTTTTCAAAGCAGAGGTGTCATTGCAGGTTATATCGATGCCTCGTGTTAACATGGCAAAAATCACAAGCAAAGCCTGTTTCATTACACTCTCATCAGAGACGTGACACATTGGTTTTGAACATATGTGCGTGTCAGTCTGCCACAAGCAGACCTGTAGACTTTGCTTAAGTGTTTCCTTTTTATAGTCTAACATTTACTGAGCAAAACAGCAGTATAGTTGTGACAGCAGCAGGAACACCACTTACATTCTGACTACAATACAAATGCAATACCAAAGTTTGCCCAGCAGATGTCACCATTTTGACTTTTTGAAATGCTTCGTAATTATGAACCATTTTCTACACTATGGGTCCTGGTGGTTAAAGCTGTAGTTGGTAACTACATGAGACAGAAAATCTGTGAAACAAACAATACTCCTCCTTCTCTTATTGCTTATAATGGCATTAACACACATAGATGAAAACTACCCACTAGAGCTGAGGAGTGTCTAACGCAGCTGTCAGTCATGTCAATTACTGCCAGTGAGCTCCTGCAAAGCCCACAAACTAGGCAGCGCTGATAAATATGGCTCAAGATTCTGACACTGTGATGCCTATCTTTCACCTCAGATGTTTTCAGAAACATAATTTGTGTGCTGTTAAATTGTAAAATGAGAAAATTGGTCTGGTCGGTGGGCAGTGCTTGGTGCGTTGCTTGACATTTCCAACACAGTGGCCGCATCAACAACATTCAACTGTACATTAAAATGTTTCTGAAAACATCTGAGGCGATAAGTAAGCAATGCAGTAACAGAATCTTGAGTAATATTTGATCAGTGCTGCCGAGTTTAACAGTTTGACCACAGTTCATGAGCTGTGAAACAGACTCCTCAGCTCTGATTGGTTGTCTTTGGTGCACTGTAGTCTGATTCTAGCACATGCCATTAGAGGCAGAGAAGTCGAAGGGACATTTTTTTTTTTTTTACTATGTGTTTCATGTAATACTTTTGTGTGTGTAGTGCCAATTTAAGCAAATGTGACAAAAACTTATTTTCATTTAAGTTGTCAACTGTATCTTAAGTGGTTAACAAAGCTTACTCTCCCCAGTCACCGCTCAGCTTATTGCACAGCTGACTTTGCAATGTTTATTTCCTGCTCTTCTGCTTATCCAATGAATTTGACAACTGAATGGCCTCTGTGGGTGTGACACTGGTCCTTCATTTGTATTTTTTAGACGCTGAAGAAGAAGAGGATCATGATGTTGTGGAGGACAGTGGGTACGCAGAGGCCAGCCGGTGCTCCCACAGTGCTGAGCCAGAGGAAGACTGGGAAGCAAATGTCTGATCTGGCGGATACAGCTTTGTTGTCGGGGCAAGTAGGTGACTTGTTGAGTGAGCAAATGGTTTCCCTTGGTTACTACTGGACAGTGCAGGTGTACTGACAATTCCCAACTGCACTGTGTAAACTTTTGGCTTTTGCATTTATTAAATACTTGTTTGGACTGCAACTTTGTGTTATATGTAAATATTAACTGGCCTCTAAATTAGCAGTGTACTTGCTGAAGGAGACAGACTGTCCAAATGTAAATAGTACAATAAAAATCTAAAAAAATATTATTCTTGTGCATGATGCTCGTGTTCAATTTAAAACATGCTGAAGACTTTTAACTTTTATTCAACAGTGCAAGGTACACATTTGAAGCATCCAGTACACTTGTTAAGGAAGCAAATGTTGGTCTGTAACAGGAAACACTGGACAGTGTCAGAACAGCGCAGAACGTCACTTTACAGGAGAATATATTTTACAGTTTTATATAGACAACAGCTTCACAGAAGAGAAGAAGAAACCATGTTTGTAACAACATGTTAGGTACCAAGATAATCATACCTGTGTCACACAGGTAAAACAAAAGATTTTTTTTTTTTTTATCAAAAAAGGGAAAAAAAACAAACAAAAAAAAAAACAGAAAAAATATCCAATAGTTGATATTTGGTAGCCATAAATCATACACTTAACACTGTCATAACTATGTAGTGAGAACACTTTGTTTCTTAACAATAAAACATTTAGCAAAATATGGCACAATATCAGCAATGAAAGATTCAAAAACAAAGACGATGATTTCTTTACAGATATGATTTTCTTAACATACAACATTTAAACCATGCCGAAAGTAAAAACACAAAATGAGAACACAGATCTACAGTTACATCATACACTGTGCAGATATCTGCTTTTAACAGGAAGAAATGAGAACAATGATTCCCTACATGCTAATTAGCGAAATTGTTCCTTCAATGTGGAAATATTCAGATAAGAGATGGCACAATATCAAAATGAGGAAAAACATGAAGATGTGTTAAGTTCTGCGAGCTAACAAAAGGACGTTTTGATCATGCAGAACACAGGAACATAAAAACAGAACACTGACGTATAGTTAAAACACCATACACTGATGACACTTGTGCAGATATTGATATAATACGTATAGAGTTTATGTAGAAGAGGAGGTATGCTACCTCTGCTATGGCTTATGACAGGAGACAGAAGATTACAGATACTGTGCAGTCTGTTTTCACTAGTTATAATGCGTCTAATATTCTCATTATGCATAGGCCTTGCAGAGTCCCAGGTAATAACAGTGTGTTGTGTACTTTGGCTAATTTACTTATAAACTAAATAAGTTGTGCACTTAATCTCCTTTTAGGCTAGAAATGCAAATAGCGAGCGTGCGTGACACTATCAGGATTTCAAAACTCTCAGCAGATTTATGTTATTAGGTTCACTGATCATTCATGTGTTGATTGTGTTGGTTAGTTAGACTGGTTTTAACTCTGATCTGAAACAATTAAGATGTCAGGGTATACATACACATACACAAAACTATTACTCTGGGCATTTTTAAAAACAGGTGCTGTTGAGATTTTTCTTCATGGCAGTGGGTTACTTCACTAGTCCTTCACTATACAATCCTTACACATTAATTAGTTAGTGCGTCACAGGATCCTTCATTTGTTCACTGATGTTAGCTTCCTGGTCAACAGGTCGGCTCACAAAGATGTAGGTGCGTTGCAAAGCGTAAGTATACAATAGATACATAGCTGAAACACTGGGCATTAGATATATCCCCTTCTATAGTAATATTCATCATAGAAGCCCCTTTTTATGTTCGCTATTTGCTGCCCTACAAAGGCAGAGAGCAGCAACTTGAGAAAGGAAAACTATGCAATCATTGCATTTGGATAACCTTCGGGGAATTTGCACAGAATGTAACAACAAAATGTGTATGCTCAGCTTTGTTATCCTTTCAACTAGTTTGTTTACAAAAATAAACTCAATTTTGATTATTTATAGTCCGCAGATTATAGGATTTGAATGCACATATGTCTGTACATCTATTAATGACATTTATAGTGAAATTTGTAAAATAATTTACAATTTAATAGATTTAAATGTGTGACTTGAAGTTAGTTTAATCACACCAAAGCACATCAGTGTCACTAGAGTCAAAAGCAAAGATGGAGTTACTGAGATCTGCTAAGACACTGAATTGAGGAAATTGGATTACCCACATGTCATTAAAAAAAAGAGTTAGATTTAAAAACTCATTTTTGAACAAAACTTGTTACTGGGTTTTGCCTTTGTAGGGCAGATTAGTACTGCAGGACAACCCTCGGCAGAAAGCCAAACAAATAAGAACAAGAACCAAGTCAGCAAATTGTCATGTTCTCCCATTTTGTCTTTGCAAACTTACCAATATAGCACTCCTTACAAGAGATCATCTCACATCCTTTCACTCATCCAACATAACAGGATAACAGTTACGCCTAATAAAAGTGGTCTTGCCACATGGCAAACACATTCACACAGTCAGCGCTCACTCGTCAAATAGCTTGAGTCTGATGCCTCGTCTTTGTAGTAAAATATTCTCAACTTCAAAACAGCGATGGTTGTCAGAGTGCCAACACTTACAGCTTTTTAGCAGCTTATAGGCAAATATTAAATAGAACATCCTAGTTGAAAAGGAAGTCTAACAAAAACACTAAGAGACTAAAGGAATGTATTGAAAGCGCATCGCAGCGCAGCGTAGATTTCAGTTCATTCTGATGATGCACACAAAGAGCCTGTCCTGGTGTCCTCTGTTACAGAGAAAGATTAATAATTTTCTTCTTCCTATCAGTTTAAATTGGATTTGGTGATACAGGTGACCTCAAAAAGATGAGGCTTATCGACACCCAGAGATTGACGGTTGGAGTGGACGGTTTCATTTATGTAAATGTTATTATTTTGAATAATCTGGTCAATGTGTCATTTCTCTTATTTCATATCTGCATGTTGACACTGAGATAACGACAGTTTACCTCTCGCTCTTAAAAACCTACCAGGGAGCTACAGTGTCATGTGGCAGATATGAACACAGGAGGGCACTGTTGTAATGTTAACCTTTCACAGAGTGATCAGGTCAGACACTTTGCTGATCAGGTAACGTGTGCTGTAGGAATGCAGATTAAAATTGACGCAGCCTTGCCTCCAGTTATTTTTGATGTAAGCAGTGTCAGTCCACCTCTGAGAGGCTACAGGTCTAACGCTTTATCACCACCTGCTCGTACGCTCCAGCACCAACCCTGGGATAACAAGAAAAGACAAAATTAGCGACACATTGTAATATCTGGCCCACATATCACTCAGTAGAGCTGACAACTAACAATGCATATCATGCCCTCTTTTTCTGCATCAAACCAGGTCATTATTGAAATACAGAACTGTTATTAAAACACAATTAAATGTGCCAGAAGTTGGAAGAGCATTCCCATGGAAGTCCACTGTTATGTTAAACTATGTTTTAACCTATCACTAGGCCCTACAGTGGCTATCAGACTCTGCCATTATAACTCTATTGGGCACCGTGACATCTGACAACATTCTGCAACCCTGACCTAACTTACGTTTAGTCTGCTTTTATATCCCAATCCCACCCAAACAAAGAGATCTTGGCAGCTTGACCCAGCCTTATATCTACATTGTATCTGCTTAAGCTAAACTGCTGTGGCTGGCCCCAATGACTCGATAGGCAGTATCATCTTGATACCATGGCCCGCACAGAAGTCTGGCGATTATCCCTACTTATCTAGCTCCGCTTGTCTCACAAAAATTCATCATATCAGTAAATGATTCACAACATTGTCTGACCTACTGCATCTTTTGAGTGTCCTTGAATCCTGTCCTGAAATAATGTGTTTGCTGATTTGCACTTGAAAAGAAAAGATTTTAAATTTCACACTTCAATTTGAATCTTTGGCCCAACAGCATTCAGTGGCATTATGTCATGTTGTAAATTAAAACACAGCCACTGACAGTCTGGTAAAGCATGTTCAGACTAGATAGACTAGAAAAAACTCACTTAAATTCTGCAGCTGCACCACGATCCTGCTCATCATAAATATTAACACATAGTTTCCAGTATTGTTGGGATTATGCTCCATTAATGCGCTCAATCACATCATGAGTGATAGAGATAATTATTAATGCATTGGCCTACTGATTTTGACAATTTAAACCATAAATTAAACATTATCTTTCACATCATTTTAATTCTATGATTTAAACTGAGATTACACATTATGTGCAATAAACATTTTAGAGGAACTGCTCTAAAAACTGATAGCTGTCTCGTCTAAGGAGTCAAAATGTAACATCAAGACAAAAAAACTTCCACTTTCAAAAAAGGACATGCAGAGGTTTCATTCTGAGCTGGGGGTGACTCAGTCTCTGAACTGATCAGCTATTGTCAGATGACGATAAAGCCTACATGTGCTACTCTCTACTGTTCACCTTTTCTCCGGCCTCTCCGTGAAGTTGAACGGGACACCCCCCCCAAAAAATACCCACACACAGAAAGGGACAGTCTGGTCTATTAGGAATGAGAAAGGGGTCTATCACCTGTTTTAGCGGGATTACCCGTGTTTAAAAAACCCCACGGACAAACAAACTAGAAAATTCCATGCTTACCTGGTGGGTAGGTGATGGCTTCCAAGGGCCGTGCTTCCACCAGGGCCGACAAACAGACGCAAGCCCTCCTCTGAAACAGACGTTCGGTCAGTACGGAGAGCACCCACATCCTGCTATATAAATCTTGTCATGAGGAGCAGCCAGTTGCTAGGCAATCTAAAAATAATCATTTATTGACAGCAGCTTTCTTTTCCTAGCTTTGAGCTGGATGAGACCTTGGAAGGAAAAAAAAAGTCCTACTCCTCAAAATACACAGACTGACTCATGGGGTAACACAATACTGTCAAGTTAATTATATTGTTATGCAAAGTAGCTGTGCATTGAACACATACAGTAGTGCTCCAGACAAGGGCTGCAACTAATGACTGATTGATATGAATTCAGGGTGTCTGTGGGGGCTTAAAAGTGTAAGGAGTTCATGAATCAATTTAGAAACAATTTAGGTCCTTCAAAAGTAGGAGTTTTTCTGACAAACTATACTTTTACTTTTATGACTTTACTGCGTCATGCCCTACACCCCTTAGCTGATCTTAAGTCTGTGTACACCCCGGTCTCTCATGGCTTATTGCTTAATTTGATTTATTGATTAGTTGGCAACTACTTTGAGAATTAATTTTTAGGATTTCTGCTTAGAAATTGACTGCAAACATTTGGTGATTACAGCTACTTCAAAGTTCTCTCTGCTTTTCTTTCTTTAAGTGTCATTGCATTGACAAAACAATTCATAGATGTATCATGAAAATAACTTTATACAAGTCAGTTTGTGTGGTTAAATTTTATTAGCTGCATTCAGCAGCTCAATAGCTCGCTCTGTCGTTTGGTCCACAAATTTTTCCCTATCTTTTGGCGGCCAAAGTTTTAGCCCTATATGAGGCTCAATTTGTTCTGGACGAAAACAGTGTGTTTGTGAAGGTGTGTGTTTGTGTTTCTCTGGATGTGTAGCCTACCTTCAGTACTGGAGTCCAGTAGGCTAGGTGTAAAGTCTTGACTCTGGAGAATCTTTTCAACAACATCGTCAGCGTCCACCCGCGTGTCGTCCATTCTCTTTAACTGAGACTCCATGGAGTCCTGCTTCACCGGGTGTCTGAGGGGAGGATGTACATGAGTCATTGTGTATCTATTTGACCACTAATGGCTTCAACCACAAACTGACAACTCTGTTTCTCATATGAAATCCACATCCCATTTACTGCTAAGCAGGGATGAGGTCAACCCATGAGCCGAGGGATTCCATCTGAGCGGCTGGAAATGATGCCTGTTGTCAGTTGACTCATTGTAACCAAACTTTTTTTTTCCTGGTAGCAGGCACAAACTTGTAAGTGCTACTTAGTGCTCATAATATAGCAAAACTACTGCAAACATTTGTGGCTAAGTGGCCACTTTCTCTTCCTCCACTACTACTCACTGAGCAGTTTGTTTTTTAACCAGCCTCATCTTGTTACCAAGACTAGAAACTATGACGTCTACTTTTTTTCCTGATTGTTGTGCATATGTGAGCAGTCTTTGAACAAAACCAAGGGACAATTCAACATTTTGTAAAATACAGATTCACTTTCTTGCTGAGAGTTTGATGAGAACATGTATGCCTCTCTCATGTCTGTGGGTAAATATGATGAGAAGATGTAGCCACTTAGCTTAGCAAAAAGGCTGGAAGGAAGAAAGCAGAGAGCCTGTCCTCTAAGCCTAGCAGCACCTCTGAACCTCACTAATTAACACATTATATCTAATTTGTCAAACCATACAAGAAGCAAAGTGTAAATGTTGTGGTTTCATGAGGAGATAGCAGCCAGACTACTTCTTGGCCAAAGCAATTCCTGAAGTCTTGTTGTCACTGTGAGGTTGCTAGGCAGCAAGTGGAGACACAAGCTGTGGTAGCTTCATTTTCATATGTACAGATATGAAAGTAGTATAGATTTTCTCATATAACTGTCAGCAAGGTAGTGAAAAAGCTTGTTTCCAAAAATGTCTAGCTATTCATTCAAAAACCCCAAATGTTGTGTAAAGCAAAACATGTTGACACCTGACTAAAAGCTGGTCTTCAAAGAGGATGGCTAAATATAAAGTGCTACCTAAGCCCTAAAAACACTGAAAACTATCCTCAGTGTTGAGTTTGAGAAGCTGCTACGCTTGATTCATGTTAGGACATTTTTAGATTGCACAAACACAATGACTAACAATTTTAGAAATACTCAGAGCGTCTGTTGACACCACGTAATGAAACCACATATAACTCTGCCGCTGCTTTGCCTCACTGCTTTTCTCTGCATGACAGCTGCTTCCTGAAACGTGACCCAAGCCTCAGGTGCGATCTTAAGTTTGTTAACTTCTTTAAATAACTTACAGCTACTCTGTATTGCACTCATTACCTGCAATAAAAATATGCTGGACTTGCAGACTGCTTTCTTCATTAAACAGGACTATGACAATGATTACATCTTCAGTAATTGTATTTTATTTGTTTACCCTAAATATTCACCTGTTGAGTCGTTCACAGGATGAGGCGCTGCGTACAGGTGTACCCGCTGGGTTGCTAGTGGTGGCGGTGGGGACTGGGTGTTCACGTAGAGCAGGGCAGGGTCTGGACTCTCTGTCCCGGTCCTCGCTGGGCTCTGGGATGCTGCCAATGCCCGTCGAAGCGCTGCCCACCGAATGGTTTCTCCGGTGGCTGAACTCTGACATGCTGGAGGAGCGGGAGTGACCTGTGCTGTAGCCTGAGAGAGATGGGCAATGGTTTCATAAAATAATACTTGTACAATACAGTAGCAGTTCTCAAATCTGCAGTAACAGATTTTTTTTGGCCACTGAATGTAAGTCAGGTATTCACTCTCTTGCAGCTCTGTTTTTGGTCTCTACCAGCTCCTGCAGTAAATATTTGGCTCCTTAGCTGCTAAATGCTCCACTATACTACACTATCACCATGATTTATCAGTAGTTGACAAACTGTATGCCCTGAGAAATCAAGGGATGCATTCATAATATTATACTGTATATTTACATAGCAATAGCACCAGGGGTCTAATCTCCATTTAAATATTATGCATTTCATGTATGCACAAAAAAAGTTTTAATAATAATTGCTTTACTAATGGAAGACAAGCCTAAGTCAATAATCTGCTATTCATGTTAGGCAGGTTTTTTTTTTTTTTTTTTTTTTTTTTGCAAAACCCACTTTGCTGTGCTGTCAAGCAGATTTGCAACTTCCAATGTGTTAAAAGATTTATCAGTTCAGCAGAGTTGTGCAGCGACACCCACACATTCGAACTGTTCATGTCTGCAGGAAGTCATGACAGGGACGAGACATCTGAGGCTTTCAGTATTTTTTAAATCATTTCTCAAAACTTGTTTTTTTTTTTAAAAAAAGTATTTTAATAATGCTAGCATTCGGTTCTGTCTTATTATTATCATTATTGTTGGATATTCAATTTAGTGTTTGTATCATTTTAATTGTCTGATTTTATCTGCCTTATTGCACCCTGACATGTTTTAATCCTGATTCAACCATGTACTGATGTGTATCTCAGAGCATCAGTTCATTACAGCGACTGAAGAGCAAACTGCCCACACACTATAACGAGGCAGGAAATAACATTTTTAAATTCAAAATTAGAGTGCCATTAGAACTGATCTCAGTGCATGTCTCTACTTCCTCCGATCTTTCATTACAGTCATCTGATCTGCCTGTAATGGAAACTCGAGCCTCAGGTTTGAACTGTTCTGGTGGAGTGTCACTGGAAAATTGTTTTATCACTTCCCTCCTCCTTGGTCAAAGGCTGTTCTCAGTTTGACCTTCCACAAAAACATTCTCCAGTAATATGTATGCGTTGCGTAGTTGAGGCTGGTAACAACTAGTTTTAATTCTTTCACTCACCATGCCAGCTTAACATATTACATCTGTTAAAAAATGGCCTGTTTGATTGTATGCTATCCATGTCAGGTCAACAACAGTGAATCAGGGGGAAAAATAATAACAATAATTTATGTGGGATGCCCCTACCTGAGAGCTTGGACTGTTGGCTGGCGTAACTGGACGTTCGGGAGTGGCCGCAGCCCCCAAGATCATCAGAAACGACAGGACACTTCCCTTCTCGACTCTCTGTTAGATTAGAAAGAACAACACCAAAGACAGACAGCATGATGAACACCAGAAAGCCCTACAAGAGTCTGTTCTTTTGTAATTAAGTAAAAACCTCACATGTATAGCTTTGCTTATGCCTCCACGTATAGTCAGAAAGTAACCGGCCAAACCACGCTGTGAACTTTTTAATACCATGGCTCATTCTCAGCTTAAAACACCAGATTTGTGTGTGGTACAGTTTTTTGTGACTGAAAGCTGAAATAGCTGAATCAAGTAAAATCCTGATAATGCAGCACCACATGTTCCTTTTGTAAATGATCAAGTGTTGTGTCAACACACTGTGCTCTCATTTGCAAGTTAGTCAGGCGTGACCAGAAATTTCTGGCCCCACATACTATATAAAACACCTGTTCATATAAACACGATCTGGTTTCGATTAAGGCCACAGACAGGAACCCACCATCTGTCTTGTTAGATATAGACTCAGTTATCTATATTCTGTACAACCTGGATTGTGTTACTGGCTGTTGATTTGTAGCTTATTTCTGCCAACAGACAAAAGTTACAGCGATGGAGAAAACTCCCATCTGCCTCCCGCGCATTGTCTCTTTGTTCAGCTTCCCTGAGTTAATGAGCAAGTAACCACAGTTGGCAAGTATCCGAACACAGTGGTAGCTCTGCTTGTGTTGTGGCAAAATTAACACATTTGAAGAAATGGCCAGGAAGAGCAGGGTAACTGCTTATTCAATACTACATTTTGCCCATGATAACAACCGTATCGGAGCTTTGCTGGTGCTGCAACTTAAAGGAAACCCACAATAACTGCGCGACTGCAGAGGAAACCCAAAAACCAAAGTCGTGACGGCTCTGACAGTTGAGATAGTGCTGTGTGTACAGCTGTGTGTATGTCTGAGCCTTTTTAAAAACACATGCAGCATCATAAACGTGTGCCACCGTTTTAATGTCAAGTAGGTAAACTGGAAAATGCTGAGCTGTGAGGAAGCAGAACAGTTCAGAGTTCAAATGTCTGCAGGGAAGGAAGGAAAGGCCTCTGCCTCAGCAACACAACACAGAACAGACACCATTTCAAGAAATATTAACCTTCAGACACATAGCTGGGCCAAAGACGACCCCACTACTGTTTTCTTCAAGTCATATTCCAAATATTCCTAAAAAATTTTGCTTGTGATATCTCCAAAATGAGAAGACAATGACTGCCCAATTAAAACTGACTATGAGGTCAACAAATATATATCTCCTTTATTAACCAGGCAAAAAGCCTCATTGAGATTAAAAATCTCTTTTTCAAGAGCGACCCTGGCCAAGAGGGCAGCACAAAACATTGTTACAAGTTACAACAAGGCAGACAGACATATATAACTGTCATACCCAACAAATGAATAAAAACCATAGTATGCAATGAACATGAAGTACAAGGTCTGGGAAAAGAACAAATATGATGTGGGTATAATTTCTAAAAATGATTTAGGAACAGTTACACTGACTCAAAGAGCTAATTTCTTGATCCTTTAAAATCGACTTAAACTGCCCCACAGTGATCAGCTGTGCCAATTTCAGATCCCTCTGTAGATTACTCCAAGACGAAGGGGCAGCATATTTAAAACTTTTCTGGCAGAGTTCTGTTCTCACCCTTGGAACCAGCATTTGTAGAATATTATGAGAGCGAAGGCCATATTGATTTTGGTTTCTGCACATGTAGCAGTGCAGCGATTACACTCTAAAATGCAAAATTCAAAAATAAAGATTGCATGTATTTATTATGAACCTAAAACAAAGAGGACAACTTTTGAAATTACAGTCCTGTCCAGGTTGGTATCAATATAATATCACTATTGCATAGCCCTAGTTGTAATTCTGATGCAGGTCATTTTGACCCACTTATGAATACTTGTAATTTCTAGTGTCCTGTGCATCTAAGGGTTAGCAAACTATCGCAATTATTTGTCACACTCATACTTGTCTTGAAAGATATGCATACAGGAATATATTCTAACAAAAAATTAATCTAAAAAATAATACAACATAATTGCTCTTGATCTGCAATTTGGATACTGCTCACACACAGGAAGCACCTGCACCCAACACTGCAAACATGCACAGCCAAAGCATGATGTTGCTGATGGGAAAGAGCATCATCTTCAGCAGACAAACACACACATGGTGTGCTCATCCAAACACACAACCCCCTATAGACAGACTTGCACACACTCCTATTTTTAACCATGTAAGAGCCTACAGGGTCAGAGCAGATTGTGGATAATCTAAAAGAGAGCTAGTTTAAATTATACATGAAAGAGCTGCGCTACACTCTGAAGCTTCCAGGAGGAACAAGCATTCAGCACTGCAATGTGTTCACACATGGACAAACATACACAGAACAAGAGAGATAGGGGTAAAACAGGAAAGAGAAATGTAGCAGAAAGGGGTGGCTGGAAGAGAAACATTTTTTAAGCGCTGAATGGGAGATATTAGTTCTATGAAGTATGAGTGCATGATGCTGGAGAGCGCACACGCACACACAAATGAGAAGAATCAGACACAAGTTATCAGATCAACATCTGCAGCTTGACAAATGAACTGATCCAAAGAGAACAGTGCCAAACAATTAATGTAAAACAGTAGGTGCAATCAGCTGAGGATTCAGCCTACACCTTTTCAGTTCAGCAAAACCTGCTTTGGTTTGTTGATGCTTTAAAAGTATTGACTTATTATAGTTATTATTTTTTTTCTTGTGTATATTTGAGTTGTAGAAGTTGGAAAATGACCAAAATAAACCGAAGCTAAACTAAACTTGCCTGCAATAATGGAAGAAATACACTAGAGGTTAGCTTCCATAAAATTAGAAGAATAACTGCAAAAATGATGCACAATCAAGTTTCCACACGACAGCACTTTAACATTAATGTTTGTCTTGATGTGCTGGAGGTTAACAACCAACCTGAAGTACATGCCTGTCACCTGGTAACCTAATAAAACTGTACGCCAATAAAAAAAAAAACTGCTGGTCTGCACTTTCCTCTACATGCAAGTGGCTAAACTCTGACACATAAGGCTTTCTCTCTTGTAGCTGTTTCACAATAGAAGCCTTTCACTCATTTACTTGGGTGAAACTTTTAATGATCAGTGGTTGGTTTGTATTAGTGGCAAAGGAACAGATGTGGTTTCAAAATTGGTGTGGACACAGGGGTGGGGTGGAATATGTCAAGGGGGCAGGTAAATTAGAGGTTATGCTATAGTTAAATTTGTAAGTGATGTACATTTACTTTGTGTTAAATTCCGAGGGTGTTATAAAGCATTTTTTTAGGTAATAGAGCATCAGAAGGTACTATTGAAGATAAACTATGCCCTCCCCTAATCTGAATTTGGCTGGTAAACTTGGATTATAACCACTCTGAGATTATAAATGCAACTAAATTACTATTAATCTAAATCTATCACTGCTAGTTAGATCTGCTAGATACAGAGTGACTTGTAATAGAAATTGATTCTACAACAATGACAAGTGATGAGGTCATGCTCCTCTACTCATGCTCAGTGAGTTTACACAGCTATGAAGATTGGTGTCTAACCAAAATGAAAACTTGTTTCAGCCTTGTGATTACAAGTCAAAATGTCTGAGGGATAATTTTTGCTGTACCAGTTATTAACAGGCACTTCACATAGCAAAGGAGAGCAGATAGAAGAAACGTCAAAGTTGTTACAGTATCTGTCAGATACATTTCTTGCACGGCACTCTATGTTCTACTATTTCTGAATAGCAGACCACTTCTAGGGATGACAGACCATTGCTATGGATGCAGTTCTGATCATAGACACTTAGCGGGAGCAATAAAATCATTTTTAAATCAATATTTTGTGTCAAATTATTGATTTCTTTAGTAAGTAGCTGTATAATAAGTGTGATAATGTACAGCAAGCTGGTCATTACTGATAAATGAACCCTGACAGGGTGATGCAGGACGCTGTACATTATCCCTTACGTAAGAACACAAGGGTAAAAGTGAAACAACTCCAAACCCAGCACTGGCTCAGCAGTCAGCATGCAATGGGATGGCTAATGTGTGCTCCATCAGGTGCCTGGAAATGTTTGGAAAAGCCAACAGGATGACTAAGCAGAGCACAGGAGTGTAATGTGGCGTGATTCTTCTTACCAGAACAGCCTTTCTGTGAGTCCCCTCCTCTCCTCTCCTCCAGCAGGCTCTCTCCATCACCCTGGATCCCGATCACTGTGGCTGTGGAGGGAGGACTGGTGACAGAGGAAAGACAATGAGGCCTTTTCTCCTGTCTTGTATTTCAATGTGTCAGTTGTTTAAAAATATAAAACAAGGTGAAAGACAAAAACAGGAAGGCATGGGAGAGGGAGGATTAAAACAAAGACTAATCAAGAGTAAGAACATAAAGTTCGGTCATAATTCAGAATAGCATTCAGCTAAGGCTATAAGTGAGAATACTGGAGATACTCGTTAAATACAAGCTACAATAAAAGGAGACACAGCTTTTGGCATAATCATACAGGCTACTGAATAATATTTAGGTCGAATTTGCCCTTGGGTGAAGCAGCATTTCTCGTGCTGTACAGACACATATTTTCACTGCAAATCATATTTCTGCTGGAACTAGAACACTAGCTTGCTCTTTAGGCTTGGGTTATTCTGCATCGTTTCATTCCCATGAAACTCTCCCAAGCCTGACAAAGTCTGACGCAGCACAGTCATGAGAGCTGTCGGTACCACACCTACGGCAGTATTCTTGGATCGGCTCCTGAACGAATGCAATCAGCAGCAGATTACAGCAGCAGATTGGATGTCATAACTTTGGCGCATAATACAGTATCTTTTTTTTTAACACTTCTGCCTTTTTTGATAGTGGTAGTGGAGATACAGACAGGAAATGTAGGGAGAGAGAGGGGGGGTTCTGACAGAACAAAGAGGCTTTAAATCACAATCTGCTCCAGGTCAGTTAGCTTTGGCTTCGGGGACTGTAAATATCTAAATCTGGGCAAGTACAAAGTCGAGCATAGGCACGAGAATAATTCAATTCACACGCTTTTTTAAACCAAAAACTTAAGCAATTAAATGGCTTTCTAATCCAACTGAAATTGTATGGTTAGGAATCCAAAATGTCTGAATGCTGACACAAACCCTGACTGACTTAATATGGACCAAAGCAGATTTTAAGCCATATTGAAACTGAAAAATATCACTTTGACTTACGTTTTAAAACAGGGATCTCCTGACATGAGCTGCATACTGATGATAACCTATGAAAAGAAGAGGAGACTTGTTAATCAATTCAGGTTTGACTTGCATTCAAGGTTTCCATTAGCATGGGTTCTTAGTTTAAAGACAGACAGGAAAAGGTGTTTTTGGTTCAAGCATAGTTATAATTTATTCCAACAATAAGATCCAAACCCTCCAAAATTCACTGAAGAACTGTAGTTTTTGTTTTGTCACATATTAGGGGCTGTTAGATGAAATAAAGCAGATAATGGCTGCATTAGCCAAATATTATCCACAGTTGAAAGCGCTCTTCTTCTTCAATGGTTTATTTCTGGCTACAATCTAATGGACTACCTGGTAACCTTGTGGTCGTTGTGAGTAATCCTAGATGTTTATGGAAAAACCTTTTTCCATACCTACTTCCTTGTTGAGAAAAACGCCTGTGTTGTAACACCAAGATTGCCCCCTAAAGACATCAGGTCAGACTGGTGTGGATGTGGTTACCGTAGCTTCAATGTTACCTTGAGAATGGAGTTATCCTGGCGAGTATTTTTGGTATCGTAGCCTTCCAGCAGACATCTGCGGGTTGTATTCCCTGAGCCAGCAAACTCTGCTAAATTCAGATCTGCAAAACCAAGCTGAAGGAGAAAGAATGACAGTGGGTGAACTTTGTTTCCTCTCAGGAGACTAATGTTTGGCTGTGACAATCTCTGGATGTGACATGACAGCAGTCAGGACATGAGAGAAACTTCAGGGAAACTGAACAATATTCACACATTTTGAAACTTGTTCGTCAATAACAAGCTGGTAATCTTCTACAATTTCAATATTATCTAGTCTAGAACATCCACAGGAAGAGGTTTAGCATGCTCGATAAATAATTACTTTCAAACAGTGAAAGCGAGAACACATGACATAATGAGCCAACCTGCAGGCAGTGAAGGCCATCTGTTTGGTATGGGCACACATGGCTATCTACATAAATATGGCTGCTTACTGTAAATCTAGGTGACCTGGAGGTTGGGTTAGGGGATGGGGGTTGGATGACATGTGGGGAATTACCTTTGCATACGCCTTTCCACCTTTCAGCTCCTGGAAAAGAGAAGCACAAACATCTACATTAAAACGTTGCACAAAAAAGTTTAAAATACTCGACTAATGCTTGAAAACACAAAACATTAGTGATCACTATCTAATGTGTTTGAGATTTATCTGAATTCCAAAATACTAGTTTAATTATAGTGAGTCAGGGCCGGGCATTTGAGGAAGAAAGTCATGATATTGTTGAGCTACCTGCCAAGTGAGAATCTATAGACTGGCTTCACATTGTGACCTAAGTAGTGAGCAGGGTTGCATGTTGCAAGGACGGATTTTGTAATTCCTCTAGACAACAAAGAGATGTTTGTAATTTATTTTTACAAAGACTGATTGCTCCATAAGTGAGAGACTGGTGGTTAAAGATTCTTTTATTTCCATTGACTACTATAACTATCACAAAAATTGAGTTTTCAGGAATTCAGGAATTTACCACAGTACATCTTCTCTGACATCAAAATGTTGTCTTTTTTCGTGAACACTGGAGATTCATTTTGCAAGAATATACAGTAGCTGTTTGCAGTTAAATATTTTGATGCACTGTGGCCTCAATTTTTGAGGATTAAAAAATCTAGCTGGATCTTTTGTGGAGGTTAGTCTGAAGATGCTGTGTATTGAGTTTGGTGTCCATTGAGCAAAATGTGTGGGATGAGATAGAGTAATTAGTTTTACAGTTTTTGAGAGAAACAGAATGATGGACTTCTTAAGGCAGCTTCATCCTGCAACTCCTGCATCTGAACATTTCTGCTCAACTGGGGCTACATTTTGGTGAGTCGTAGCACGTACGGCTTATTTGTCATGAATTATCAAAATTTTAAACTTTAGACAGTTGCTGTAGCATCACCAGCAGAACTAAAAGGCCACAGTGGCTGCTGAGGAAGTTCAGCAAAGGACTGGATCTCTTTGCAAAGTTTTATTTTTATACATAGAAAGGCAAAGTTCCTTGTAGGAGTAGGAGTAGAAGACGTGGGAGAAGGAGTAGGAGATAAAGTAGGAGCAGACGTGGGAGTAGGAGTAGGAAGTTGTTGTTTTGGATACTAGCATATCAAAGTAAAGATACTGATTCAGACTCTACAGTCCTGGTGGTCATGTGTCCACATTCAAGGCATTGAACTAAAAGGTATACTATGTAGGAATTCGTTAAAGCACATTCACTCCTGTTTTGGAACAAGCTTTGTCCATTTGGTGTTCTGCTTCACTATATTCATGTTTTTATCTGTGCTGTTTGTAGCTTCCTCTGGGATGCCTGCTGCTTATGGTCTAGCACCTGGTCACTACCTTTTTATAAAGTCCCGACCTCACCTGCACATGTGCCCAGGAGTGTCCCAAACACAGCAAAATAATAAGAAAATACAGACAGAGGGCAGAGAGCAGAGTCTCTGCAGAAAAATACACCGCAACACACTTCTAGTGCGTCATAAGTGATGATTGAGAGAGATTACTGTTGCCTGAGTCTACATGTATTTTTAGGAAAACCCTGCATTATAACTTACTAACCAAATACCGGGCTGGTTACCGTAATTGTAACCATAAATATTACATATTTGCTACTTTCCATCAGCAGAAGAATAACATCAGTGTTACACTGGAAAATTTTGTTGTTGGTTCCAGATACTAGCAAGAGGCAACTGTCTGACCTTTTAAAGTTCAATACCAAAGGGAGCCACCAGTGAAGGCAAAATAACAAAGGTTTCTCTGGGTACTTGACATGCTCAGTGTCCTAAAACAAAGAGGGCAGGGCACACCAGAAATAGCTTACAGATACAATGTGGAAACATAAGACACATTTCACCAGGAAGGCTAATTCAGGCTTATCCATTTCCTTTTTTTATACTGCTGTTTTTATACCCTTATATCCCTAAAAATAATGTAACATGACACGAGTAAACAAGCAGAGCACAGAGCACACTCACGTAACGCTAAATGTTGAAAGACAACTAGAGGATGAGCGGCTGAAGATTTGACAGTGATGAGTCTGTTTTCTTCAGAATGCTGTGCTTGCTAACTATGATTTAGAGGTCACATTTCACTCTCAAGTTTCTGTGGATGTAACCAATACCACAATTCAACCCAGACACAGCAAAAAAAAAGATGAGGTGCTCCTCTTTATTGCAGCCTCATTTTCACAATGAGAACAGAAGCCTTTGTTTTTGCAGAAACCCCTCCCCTGATGCATCTTCAACCTGAACCTTGTACATTCACATGCAACACATCTGATTGTGGATCAACAAAACTATGTAGATAATATGTATGTCTATAGTGTGGAGCTCAGTAGCGACATACTGTACCTTTCTGACAGACACGCGACACACACAGGGGTCCAGTACACCTGTTCCTGCACTGGCACTCATCTTGCAGGGGAAAGAGAACCGTTTCCTCCATCGAACACAGTTGGCCTGCACTGGCTCCCTGTAAAGGGACATCACAAAAACGTTAAGCACTCTGTCAGGTCAGATGTGCATGTATTGTGCATGTGGTGCATGTTGGGCTCTAAAAGGCTAATTTACAACATGATGTTAGACAGCTTCAGATAATGCAAGTAGAGACTGGTGGAAACACTCGTGGACACATGAGATTTTATTCCTTGTACAGCATGTCTCTGTCCAGCTGAAAAGCTGGATCATTTCCTTTTGTGGTTTGGACAGCTCACATTATAACCCCTGATTGACTGTTTGGCCCGGTACCAGAATTTTAATGCATCGTATACTATTCATGGAAAACAATGTTTATCGAAATAAAACAAAAATGACAAAGCAATTAACCAATAACACACGTAGGTATCAAACGTCAATACTTTTTTCTAGCTCTGACTAAAATGTGTCCATATAGCACAGATTATTGGAAACAAATTTCAAAGCCTGTTATTGAATATCTGAACTGTTTGACAGTCTTGCTTACTCACTCTTTGAGTAATAAAAGTTTGCAAAATAAAAAAACTTTATTAATTGTGGACTGTATTTGTACGGCTGCTTCAGCCCGACATTAAACATTTGACAACTTTGACTTTATTTGTAAAATGCAATCATGGCTTTGAAAAGAAATGTTAATATTCTTAAAAGCATGTTATCAAGAAAAGTTTTTTAACTGTACCAAAACAAAAGTATTGCTTTGGGAATAATAAATCCACAACCAGACAGCATTCAAGACAAAAAAAAAGATTTTCAACAAAGATGATTTGTTTTTATTACATTTTTTGATATATATCAATAATTTCCTGCCTTGTCACTGTTTTCAACGGTCCTGATCACACATCCCTAAAATGTAGAGGCACATTTTAATTTCATTCATATTAATATCATTATTATTTAACAATAAAAGCCATTTGGGTTGAATGACTGCTGGATTAACAATTCTCACATCTCTACCCTGCTTAAAGCTACTGATTTAAGTTGCCAATACAAGCTTATGTGCTTATCCTCGGATTTTTCTGGCCACTTAATAAAAAGAGCTAATTAATCACAGTCCTGTTTTCACCTATTGATTCATCTGACTGCTGAATCCAAAGGTTATGGCGGCAGGTGTGGCTCATTTTGGCAGCAGAGTGAAAGAGAAACGCGTGCACACACACATCCCCGGCCAATAACCAGAGGGTAAAATGAGAGTGAGGTGTAGCCTGCTCTGAGTGAGGGGATGAGACGAAGTGAGAGAGAAAAGAGCGTGTATGCGTGGGCAGCATTACGATACCCCAGATGGCCTCTCTTTCACTGGCATCCTCTCCTCTCCCACTCACCTAACCAACTCCCTTCTGTCAAGACAGCACATGCCATTCATTTAGATGCGCAGCTGATGGTTTTCCTCTTTAATACGGTGCAACAAGTCATAAATGTTACAAAAGTTTGTCTCTTTTTGCCACCATTTCTGATTTAAAAGCTGAGGGATAAGACACTTAACAATGTAGTGCAAAGAGTGTTGACGACAAAAGATTTAAACGATTAACAGGGTGTACAAATCCCCGTTAAGATGGTTAAGACTGACTGAGCATATAGGCACAAGATGTGCTCTGCATCCCTGCCTCACTATAAATAAAAAGCAGCAGATGCGTGACTAATGTTTTTACAAACGTTGACTTCATCCTCTGGTTGATAAATTCCAGAGAGTGAACTCCCAGCCAGCTGGACACTATGTGCTCCGGGAATTCTAGCCTGATTGCATGTACTAGCTATAAATCACAGCACTTCTCAGCGTAGCAAAATCCTATCAGTGAGTATGTAAGTCTGCCTTTAAGCACAAGCGGAGGTCATCACTCTCACCTCTATACATGGGTCAGATATCTTGTTTAACTACAGCTGCTGTCCTTTTAGAAGGCAGCTGCAGTTACAAACTCTCATGAACACATAGTTACACAGAAAGTAGATCTTTCTGACATGAATTTTGGGCAGGGTTTCCAACTGTCTGGCTGCAACGAAAAGATCCAAGTCTGAATTTGTCCCTAAATTGTTACACTTTCAAAAAAGTAAACTCATACAACAAAGAAAACTTGTTCCTGGCAGAAACAATGGTGCAGTCCTGATGACAAGCCACACCAAAGGAAAAGAAAGGCTCATAAAACAACAATCTGCACTTCCCTCACACTCACAGCTGGGATGACTCAAAAGAGTGTCAGAGGAAACACTGAAGTTTGAGAGTTTCATAAATCAAACTGCTGCAGAAAAATGTAATCTAACAACACTCAGTTAGTGACTACGAACTCTGCTAGCTGAAAATGTCAGAGCCAGATCAAGACGTTTTAATTAGAACATCACCCGTATGAACTTCAAAGTCTGGGTTATGAGATTAAAGAACCCTCTTACAGTGTTTCATCGCTTTAACTCGGCTGCAGTGGCTGCTCACATGGGACAAAATGTACAAAGAAAATAATAGCTATATTAAAATGCCCCCATGTCATGACCTCAGAAAAATCCTGATTCACAAAGTCCGACACACTTGGCCTTTCTATCAAGCCATTTCATGAGAGCTACTTACTGCAGAGCAAACAGAGGGCTTGTTATATAATCAGGGTGAAGCCATCTAATCCCTACAGCCTCCCTCCAAAACAATGCTTTTCCCTTACTGCAACATTAGAAGCCGGTCTAATTTATGAGCAGAAACCCAAAACAGGTTACAAAGGAGATGACTGTCTCTGCTTGCTTCAACTTGACAGCAATAACGATATTATCATGATACTGCTGTGGACTGCAGCGTGACTCTGAATAATGGGCATAAGATCATTTCCTTTCATGACCAGTTATCTGGTAACCCATCTTCTAGTTCCTTTTAACAACCACTTCAGTGTAAACATCAAACATATTATATTACCACCATCATTATCTAGAGAGGTTCTGAAACCATTTTTTTAATCATGATACCAATTCCAATACTTACACTTGCATATCGGACGTTACTGAGTACCGATCTGATACTGTGCATTAAAAAATAATAACAATAAATAAAAATTATATATATAAAAAATATGAATAGCTGTATACTAACCCTGTATGGATGTGACATGATGGGACTTTCCAGTGTAAAATATTAACAAATTGCTGACATTTTGCAAACAGCTAATGTAACAACATTTATCAGAGATCAATTCCATCTTTGCTGCTCTAAAACAGTAGTTGCCAAAATAAGTGCCAGCCAAAATAATTGACTTCTGGGGATAACTAACATCTATATCTGGGTGTGAAACTACTTTCAAGTCTTTTAATAAATTACGTGGTATCTGATTGGTGCATAGACTGCGATACTCACCTGATCAGACATTTTAGGCAGCATTGGAGGCATTTCAGATACAGGTATCGGTATCTGAACTCAAACATTATCACTTTGTTCTCCCAGCTATATATGACAATATTTTTAACTAGAGCAGAAACAATAAGTCAGTGAATAGATTAGTCTAGCAACAGAAATGAATCAACACATTAATGTATTCTTTACGTTATTTTTGAAGCAAAAAGGCTGAAAATGAATCGGCAGCAGCTTCCAAATTGGAATAATTTCCTCTATAATGAGTTGAATATCTTTGTGATTCGGACCAAAGCTGCAATGATTATGTAGTTTGGCTAAATAATTGACAGAAACTTAAACTGCAACTATTGATATTATTAATAATTATATTATATTATATTATAATTGTGAGAATTTTCTGCTTTTCATTGTCTTTACGTGTTATAGTTCAAATAACTGTATTACACTGTTGGGAGAGCAAAAAAGCAAAGTTGTAATGGGCATTTTCTGACACAGTATAAACCAAATGATTAATTGACTATTCCAGGAAATAATCTGTACATCAATCGATAACGAAAATGATTGCAGCCCTAAAAGCTTTCCTCTTTATAGATTAAGCGCAGAGTTGAACTTTTACTTATGACAGCTCACAACAGGTAACACTGGAGATGACTTTACCTGTCACAACTTGACAACAGCATTATCATGACACTGCTGCAGAACACAAAGTGACTGACAGGGGAATGGGGTAATTTCCTGTCATGCACAACAGTACATACAATTTAATACCCATAATTTCAGTTTCTTTTTTATGCCTTATAGTGTAAGCAAAAATATTACAGTTTGAGTTGACCTAAGCAGGAATTATTTGGGACAGCATTTTCTTACTGCATATGACTTTTACAACAGTGCACTGTCCTTGCATTTTCCTGATCAGTTATAATCACTAACAGGCTGACAAAGCACACACAGTTGCCTCAGTGATAACTTTATGACCAAACAGGGGGCAGAGATAGCTCAGGACATTAGTGACGCTATTGATTAAGCAACAATTGACAGAGGAGTCATATTCAGCTTCGTGGCAGAATATGACAAGTCAGCTGGCTGCTCATAGCCCAGTAATCAATTCCACAACCAGCGAGGAAGTTAGCCTGTGAAATGTAACCCCATGTCCTCTTGAACACGGAAAACTGTCAACTAATTAGTGGATAATTCAGAGTACCAATTATCAGACATGCTAAAGTTTGTTTGCTCCAGTCTGCGCTAACATGGCGTTTACAGTTCTGCCTCAGCTGATACAACAGACTTGACTGGACGGTAATGTTAAATCTGAACAACAGAAACACCGTTTAAATGACTGACGTTAGCTGGTTTCTAACGGTACTCATGTAGCGTGTTAGCTGGTTAGCTAGTAGTGTATCATGGTAGGCTAAAGCTGCTAACCTGACTTAAGCTGCAGGCTTTAGAGAAGCACGTACACTCAATGTTTTTATGACTGTATGAACACATCCTCACCGAGAAGACTCCTCCGAGAACCCGCCGTCCAGCAGCCTGACTTTACAAAAGAGGACACCGTTGACAAAGGGGACCGACGAGAGCTCGTCCAGCTCAAAATCCACCTTGAACTTGAATTTCTTCTTTTTCATCATCATTAAATCCATACACACATTCAATGCTGCACACAAGATGCTCTAGTCTCGCCCCTCGCTGACATTACAGTCCCATTGTGTTGTAGTAAAGGTACAGTGTCGTGCTGTGGGAGGGTGGTGAAGCTGCTGGTAACAACAGTCAGTCAAACTGTGAAACTCACCGAGGCGATGAAGAAGAGCTACTTCCTGTTGTCAGCTTTCAAAATAAAATGATATGCTTTGAAACCCATCAATATTAGTTTTGTGAATACCTTTTGGTGAACACCAGCGGTGAAAGAAGTACTTTTTTTTTTTTTTTTAATAAAAGTTGCAATGTTCCCATCTTACATGCTGTCATGGAGAATTTTATACACAATTATATGTGTTGATTAATCAATTAAAATATAGTTATAATAGCCTTAAATGGGAACTGAGCCCATTTTCAAAATTCATGATCTATTGGTTATTCCTGTGGTCTAAGACAGTACATAAAATTAGTAAACCAGAGCAACTCTCTCCCAAATCTAAAAACTAAAGAAAGCTACAGCTCAAATCTGTTTTGTCATAGGGTATAAAGTCTGGAGCTACTCCATAGACAACTAAATGAGAAAAATGTTATAACTCTGAGAGCACTGAGGGGAATCTGAGTATATGGGCACATTTTCTGTTTCAGAACTGAGGACACCACAATAGAATAAAGCTTGTTTGGGTATTAAGACAAAGAAAGCAAAGAATCTATGAGTCCAGTATCCCATGTATTGTCTATGAAGCAGCTCCAGACTTCATACCCTATGAAATCTCAAGTTTGAGACTTACTTCTCTGTTTTCTGTCTTTGTGAGGGAGTAGCTTAAGTATAAAAATATTGGTTGAGCTTTCCAAGGCCATGGAAATAACATACTGGAGTTCTTAATTTAGGTGGTGTTCCCCTTTAACTGAACAGATTATTTTTATAATATGGACCTCTATGTCTGAAATAAAGTTAAATTACGTGCATTCAGACTTTGATTTTTGTTTATGTACTTGGTTTAAATAGGTAAAGTATTAGCATCAATCTTTCCTTAAAGTACCAAAAGTAAAAGTACTCATCATTTCATAATAACGTAGGCTATGTTTTTTGTTTTTTATTAGATTCATTACTGATGCATTAATGTCTGCATCATTTTAATGTTGCAGCTGGTAAAGTGTGGGCTAGTTAAAATTACTTTATGCACTGCTGGAAAGCTTATGCAATAATAATATGTCATAATGAATTGATTAGTTGGTTTATATTTCGTGTTCATAAATGATACTGATATCTGATAGGCTAACTAAAGTTATCAAATAAATGCAGTGGAGTAGCCTAAAAGATAGGGCCAAGAATATTTCCCTTTGAAATGTAGCCAGTTGGAGTAGAAATGGAATGGTCATAAAATGGAAATACTTAAGCAGGGTACAAGCACCCCAAATTCGTACTTAAATACAGTACTCATTATATGTACTTCCTTTCCACTGTAGACTTAATAACATTTTGACTGAAACTTTGTCTTTGTCTCTGCTTTTATTTTGAAATAAATGAGTATTAAACGGATGTACAGAAATGACAGTTATGAGCTTGATGGCGCTCAGTAAAGCCCGCCTCCCTCCTCCATCGCCCCCTGGCGGTCAGTCAGACTAACAGCAGCACTGATTGTACAGATTATAACAACAAAGTGAAACCAGCTGCTGTTATGTAACATTTGTCGCCACCTCGTGGTACAATATAGGAATTACAATAACACTCTTACTGAACTGCACTTTTCAAGCCACTTTCTTTTTCACTTTAATTCATTTTTTTAGTGAAGTCGTGTGGAAAATGCTGATGTGTGGACCGCAGGAAGAGCAGCTGTTGCCATGGCAGTGGCTAAGGGGGATCCACATTAATAAATAAAAAATGCTGCTTTTGCATATTACTATATGCACTACCCTCATTCCCACTATAACCAAAGTTTTCTGTTTAAACCAGAATTTATATCACTTCTGTTACACTTGTATTGCACATACTGTGCATATTTCTGTGTGTGTTTATTATATATTAATATAATAATATTATCTATTCTCTGAAGATATATTATGATAAATAATATACAATTAAATATTTGAATATTAGTTTGCACATTCTGTGTGTAGCAATAAAGGGGTTGCAACTGCATTGCAATGCACAATCCTGTATTGTATCATTACAATAGAGCTTTAACTTTGAACTTTGAATATTTAGATGACAAAATTAGATATATTCAAGCTATGCATAAACCTGCACAATTTGGCATAGGTATATATAGTTATAATTTTATAAAGTTTTCTCAAAACTTCACCTGGATATATCTGGCATTTTTGGGATTTCATAAAGTTCTGAAGTATACAATATGAGTTTGCAAAGGTCAAAAATGGAAAACAGAATTTAAGAGATTAATCAGATTTTCAGTTTTCTATGTTGCCAACTGTGGGACATCCATGGACTCTCTACCTCCCTCCCCGTATCCATCTCTCCTCCTTGCTGCCACACCAGAAAAAATAAAAATAAAAATAAAATAAAATAAAATAAAATAAAAATAATAAAAGATCATTATCACGGTACAACATGGAATGTTTATTGTTATTTTTCCTGTTACAACAAAATATTTAATTGTTTTTATGACCTACTTATCACATTATAGCCTAATAATAATAACAACAATAATCTTTATTTCTAAAGCCCTTTTCAAAACAGAGTAGCAAAGTGCTTTACATGTCAATAATTAAAACAGACAAGACATGAAAACAACAACTTTTAAAAGGACTGATAAAACACTTCAGCGTAGAAAAACAGAGGAAATAAAAGACAGTTTAAGTAAACTTAAAACTCAAGGAAAATCAGGAAAGGCTGTCCGATAAAAGCATGTTTTAAGATGGGACTCAAAGTAGATCACTAAGAAGAAACTTTTCTGGTTATAACAATATCTATCTTGTTATAACATGTTTATGTACATACTAACACTAGGGAAAAACCTGTTATAAAAAACTTTTCACATCATCACATGCTACTGATCTGTTGTTGTATTTCTGGGTGGCATCAGTCAGCCTCCATACACAAAGCAACAGACCCTTAATTAAAAAAGTTTGTGAATTTGTTATGCCTGGAGCAGCTGCTGGATTCTTGTGTGTATGACTCACTGAGCTGAATCAGACTGCCTCCACTGGAGCCCACTGTGAGAGGACTAGCCATACTCTATATGAATATGCATATTTGCGCGCGTGTGTGTGTGTGTGTGAGGCGGTGTTACACCACAAACCACAACAACGCATAACTCAGATTGAAGAAGCGGCAACTACAAGTTTAAGGAAATGAAAAAGAAAGGAAACTATTTAAAGGAAGATTAGGTTTAAAGCAGCTGCCCGTCATATAGCTACTCGTGTTTGAAAATACACGCCATGAAAAAATATTCATAGTGAGTGTTGTTGTTGCAGACGGGTGTGTCTCTGTGGTGTGTGTGTGTGTGTGTGCGCAGTGAAAGAGGAGGTCTTCTGAGGCAAAGCAACCCGACTGTCCCCACCCTTCTGCTCAGCTCTGCCAGCCTACCTCATCCGCAAACTGCCTTATGCTAAGTTTCATAGTATCACCTCTGGCTACCGGATTGTTCCCCAAACCGATTTATGAGGATTTTTCCACGACTTTGTTTTGAAGCTGCACCGCGGAAATCTCTCTGAAATCCCACGGATCGATCCTGGTGCTTGAAACCAGAAGTGCCAACAGCCGCGGGAATCGGCCTGTGTGTGTGTGTGTGCTTGTGTGTGTGTGTGTTTCCACAGCAGTTAAATTGCTCAACTTAGCGTCTGTGTTGCTCTCAGTCTCACATCAAACATGTATCAAGTCGTCAGGAAGCTGTTTTTCACGGACTGCTTGTGTGCTGATGATGCGTCCAAAACATACGAAGATCTGTTCGCCAAGCTGGACACCAACAAGGATGGGAAAGTGGATGTGTCCGAGCTGAAGGCGGGCCTGGCTGCCATGGGCATCAAGACTGGGAGAGAAGCAGCTCAGGTAGAGTCATGGGCACAGGAAACAGCACACATGAAGGCCTCACAGGGCGAGACAGTTGACACAAATACTTTATGTGTAGGCTATTAAGCTGCTGCATTCCTGATGGAACAGGACAGGCTGCAATTACTTTGTATTAACTCTCAGTAAACCTAACAATAAAGCACAGGCCTCAGAGGAAGTAACTAAATACATCTACTCAAATACTGTCCCTGAGTACTGCTTTAGATACATGGCACTTTATTGTTACTTCAGGACTGCAACTTTAATGATGTTTTTGATTAATTACTAATGTTTAAGTCTATTAAATGTGAGGAAATAGTGAAAATTGCAATTATAATATTCCAGCTGCCCAAGAAGACATCTTCAAATGTCTTTGTTTGCCTTCAGATATTCCATTTATGGATATATAAAACACAAAAAACATAAAATCTAAACATTTTGGGTGCAGAAACTGGTAAAACTTTCAGATTTTTGCTTGATAATTGAAGTTAATGAAAACATGCTCATCAAAATGATCATTAATTCATCATCAAATAATGTCAGCACTACTTGTGGATGTGCTTTGTACTTAATGCTACATTCATTTTATAGGAATATTTCCAAATACTGCTGACTCATGTGTTCAATGAAATCTGAGCGTCTTTAAATTTGGCCTGTGCTCAGTTGTAATCCTGAAATATCACCCCTTCAGGACTGACACACTTTCAAACTTTATCTAAAGAGATTAGAAAACTCACCACTGCAGCTTTTGATTATATCACATGATCTTCATCAGCAGATGGAGTTTTTTCCAGAGCTCTCATCCAAGTTAGGTGAAAAGATCAGGTCTGAATTATGTTCTTGACTTTGGAAGCAACAGTTGGGAAAAAAAAAAATCTACAACAAGGTTTATTTAGTAGCAGTTCTGGAGCTTTTACTCACAGCACATCATCTTCATTGTAGGTTTTTATCCTTGTTTTATCTCCAATTTTATCTTCATTGATGCAGTAAACTTTTGAATGCAGTACTTTTACTGAGCAGGCAGATGACAGAACAGTGTTTGCCCTTCCTTCATTACCAACACTGAGGTGCCCTCCAGCAAGGCGCTCAGCCCCAAACTGCTCCAGCATGTC